ATGGCTAGGCCGGCCCCGTATTTGTTGCTGACGTGTCGTTGTTTTACGACGAAATACTCAACATTTATTCTTATTGTTATTTGTATCACTCTTTAGGTCATCTTAATACGCTTTTTGTATTACAATGAAAGTGAAAAATCAAGCTATATTTATTCAACTTATGTCTGAAGTTTAATACATTTACATACTGTCAGTTTGAAATGACAAAATACTATTTTAATAGTTGTTCAATTAAAATTCACTATTTTCCAGTCTGTGTCAGCCTTAAGCTGGTTTTCCACAAGGCTAATTTATTTGCGCGAATCAAAGCGTCGGTTCGCTTCCTGAGTTCTGATTGGTTGCGCATTTTTTTCGCTAGCAAAAACTCCGACAGAAATGTGAATGCGCATGTGCATGTGCCGACGCTTTAGATTCGCGCGACTAAATTCGCCAAGAAGAAAAAAAAATGCTTTATCGCGATTCAGCCGTTGGAAGGGCCTTGCTTTGAATAAATGCAAAAATATAACTGTTAATTGATTTGATACATTGAAGTTATACATTTACTGTCAGTCTGCAAACACAATACCAAATAGTTGTTCAATTAAAGTTTAATAAAATTCCACTATGTAAGCTACGAAACTTCGCTCGATGCTGCGAAGATAGGACTTCACAAATTATGCCCATACAGTTGTCCACTGGCCACCAATGTCTGCTTTACGATAGACGAGTTTTAACGCGAAGGATTCATCCATCATAGATGATCATCCATCATGCAGTATCATAGGCCTTAAGACAAATCATTTTGTTTTTATATTTATTTTTTTTTTCAATTTTCTTTACTCATGTCTAACATAAGAAAATACATACAAGACAAAGTAAACAAGTTGCATAGCATAAATAAATCACCTTTTTTATGTTTACTTTGAAATATTTCTTAAGTTCACGACAATAAAACAGACTGGATGTTGATATACCGGTGAATGAAGGTTCTAATGTTACGTGATTATATTAATACTTAATTGCATAATTCTGCAATTAATGTAAAGCAGTTATATTAAACGATTGTGCTCACTGGACCCTTCGTTGAATTAGGCCCATATAATAATAATATAATATGCCCATCTAATCTTGATCTAAAATTGTTAAACGAGCCGCTTTTTAATCAATTGTATCCGCTCACTTCGCCCAAAATCTAATTATAATTTGTTTAAATCAAACACTAGGTCCTCGCGATGTATAGCTACAGCATGCGAAAATATGTTCTATAAAGGATGATTATAAATAATTCATGAGATTTTACCAAACTATCCTACGTTAGAAAAATGTGCTTGCTGGATCAAGTTATATACTATATAACAAGTTACTATGACAAGTTAATGAGCTCCCTCCCTAAAATAAGAATTGCATTTTTTTTTTGCGAAAATAAATGTTTATACACTCTTATGGAGCATTCTGGCATAATAAATTTGTCATGCGCGTATTGAATTACATAGACCTATGCCCACAACCTATGAATACAACGAACGTTCATACAATTCTCTAACTCCACCCTCGCTCCGAAATTTATCTTTTACACTGTTATGGCATTTCGTTTAGACACAAGTAGTGCTGCGATTTACCAAAGGAAATGCATTAAATACAATACACATGGATTTCTAAAGCACATCTTGACTTCATAATTTAAGTTGAATTTCTGCATTAGACAGGCGTATAGAGCATAACATAAATGTATCAAACAAAAAAGGAAAAATCCACCTTTACATAAATGATATCAGTTTAATTGTAATAAATTCGCTCATTAACTTGTCACTGAACTTGTATTTTGTAGTCCAATCAATTGATTGTATCTTTAATTTTATTCCGATTGGTTAATACCATTTATTATTCTTTATGTATGTGTAAGATCTCCAACGTTTTCTCACTTTAACGTTGATAAAGATAGCAAGAGCTATCGAAATATCCGTTTGATTTTGTTATTGTTTAATATAATATTATATATATATATATGCTGGACTGGCAATTGGTACATGCCTGTGAACATTTTGCTAGTGAATATGATGTTTTATTTAATGACAAGAAATCGTTCTGTATGCGATTTTGTCCCCGTACGTGTAAATTAGAAAGTAAATCCATAACGAAACTTTTTGGTAAAGAACTTGTATATGTTGAAAAAGGCTCTTATCTTCACATTCTTACATGCGATAGTTGTGATGAGGCTGATATTCAAAGACAGTATAGGTCTCAGTGTATTAGAAGCAACTCTCTTAATCGTAAATTTATGAAATGCTCCAAAGATGTTAAATGCTTTCGATTTTTTAATGTTCCTAGAAACAGCAGTGCTAGCATAATGTTTGTCGCCCACGGCGTCCCATCTTTTAATGAATACATGCGAAAATCAGTTTACAGCTTTATGCAGCGTATGCATGTGTTTGCAAACGTATGCTTTTAGACTCTAAAATGTATAACAGATGGAGTGGTATTTTGTATGCATAAGTATAATATATGCAATACTCATTTTTTCATATGGTGTATATGTATTATTTATTTATTTTTTCTATTGCGATAGAAAATACAGTTTAGTCGTTAGGGATTTTTGTTTGTTGTTATTATTATATGCTTAAACCGATTATAGATATGGATATGCAATTTCCGAAATAAAGAATGAAATGAAATGAAATATATATGCATATATATATATATACGTACAAATATATATAGGCCTATAAGACCTTATAAAATTCTATATATATAAATATCTGTTTCGTGCAGTATAAGATGATGTATTTTTCAACTGACATCATAGTAAATATACGTTACCTATGTTGATTGAAACGGCAAAATCTCATTAATTTTACGTTATTTGAAGCGAACAATGGAGAAGTCATGTGACTTTGATAATGCAAATACAACTGATCACTGGTCAATACGTTTATGACAACTACCACGTTTTACAATCCTGTCTCATCAACCTTACTTATTAATCTTTGATTAGTAGGCCAGTCAGGCTATATGAAAGGAACAGTTGCTTATCCAAATATCAAAGCATATATATAGACCTATTAGCTAACGCGAGTCAATATAAATGCGACATGCCATGCACCCTATCTAATTACAGAAGCAGTGATTAATAATAAAACAATAATTAGCCAATTTATTGATTTGTATACGAGCAAGCAACCGTCAAGATCCAATAATACCTTACTTGCATTAGATACAGAGGCGGGTCTAGGATTTATTGAAGAAGGAGGCCACGACAGTGGCCATCGAGGAACAAAGCACCGAGCGGGGAGAGGGCTTGGGAGGAGATGTCTAACCCCCTAAAATA